CTTAACTCACTGAGATATGATGCTCTCATCTGTAAAGCGAGTGGCTGCAGCTAGACTGTCTTTAGAATCCTCTCCAGCTCTGAAGTTCGATGATCTGTTAACGGCCTTAGCAGATTGGCCTTTGGGGGATTTACGGATTCCCCCCAAATCCCCACCAAGAGTGGCCGAAATGAGTTAAGGAGCATGAATGTTTAAGACTCACAGGGCTGGCAGTGAAGCTCTACAGTTTCTAAAAATGCCTCCTATCTTTCCTCATTATCTGATTCACAGAACCTAATTTAATGGTGAAATTCCGGAACGGCATGCCAGAACCTCCGACTGTGACATGAAAGATGGTCATCTCGGGCATGGGGCTCAGTTACGAATGACTTGCCATATGCTCAAGCACTCTGCCATTTGCCTCCAGCTGTTTATACATCACACCGAGGCCAGGAGAAGCGCCAGTAACAAACCATCGGCAACGACAAAAATAGCAATTTATGCAAGGTTTCTGAGACACAATTGCTGCTGCCGCTGTAAAACATGTACCACTCCAGACTGGTATTTTAGGTTGAACTGTATGAACTTGCCAATTTCATAGATAGAAAATGATCAACTAGCAATAGTTTCATATGGTTAAATCTACACAAAGATCCCTGATAGCTGGGGAAAGTAGAGTTCTCCAGGCCTCCCTCTGTGTGCAGTAAACAGAAGGAAGATAGATGACAGTCCAGACACAAAGCCAGGGCACGTGGAGGCTAAATGGTTCTTATACAACAAAAGGACAGTCATGGAGATGCCTTCTGGAAGTAGTGGAATTAGGTGAGGATTCCAGGAAAAGAACAAATTCACTATTTCTAGAGTTAACAAAAATTAATAGAAAAATGACAGAGTCACAAAGTTTCGAAAGTTTTTAAAAATTTGATGTACCTGATTATGAAGGCAACACAAGGGGAAACAGAGAGCTGGAGAGAAACAATGTTGTATCCTTTGAGCCCTGGATCCAGCTATGCCTGAAGCTAGATATTCCTGGACTTTTCAGTTACATGAGTCTTCCCATTACAAATCATACTCACACATACACACAAATAAGAATTATGATATACACAAAAGCTTACGATGCTAGACCAGACTGTCTTAAAATGTTGAAATGAGTCACAGAGAGGCAGGACCCACTTCATATCAAAAATTCAAAAAAGATTAGGCTTCTAGTCTGATTCACAAATCCACGGGGTCAAGCCCCAGGCAGCTGAAAACTACAGAGATGAATTGTTTATCTAAGATTCTGGGTAAAAGAAAAAAGAATATGTTTCCTGTTAAAACAGGAGAAATGAAAGAGAAGCTTCTCACATCCATAGATTCGGCCAGTGTGTTAGTGTCTAATGCAGAGCTGAGAAGGAAAGAGTCAGGCTATTTCACAGTTAGGTCTTCAGAATATAAGCTTGTTAATGCCCTCATTCATAGGCAAGAAGTTGGAGGTGAGGTGAAAATTACACAAGCCAAGAGCTAAGATTTGATTAAAATTATCAAATTATTAGATTAAAACTATTAGAATATTCCCATATTATTCTAATAATAAAAATATTAGAATAGTACTCAATGTTCCACGTCAATTTTGTCTCTTTTCTGAGCTGGTTAAACATTTGCAGATGTGCAATGCAGAAAGTAACAGCCCGCTGCTCATTTGTGTCCTAAGTCTTCCTGGCTACATGCTGCTGTTATAATTTACTGTTTTAGGCAAATGAAGATTGATTTTAATTTACTGCCAAAATTTGTGGCATGGGCGAAGGATAAGCTGGAACCAAAAACATATTTTGCTTTTTACCCTCTATTAGTCACCATTTGAAAATCAGTACTCAGTGTTCACCCCATTCGTGGCTCCAGACCACCGAACGAAAATTGTGTCCTCTTCCCAATTCCGACTGATGATGCGCTGTGCCATTATCCTGTGAGCTAATATGAGAGTCAGTAGCTGTCCCACCTGACAAATACGCCTTCAGAATCCAGGCTCGAGCACATTACTTGAAGAATGTGCAGCTAGGAGTTTAACATAACTTATACTCCCAAGTCCCCCACTACAGCTTCTGTATGCAGCATATGACTTGAGATAGAAGAGTAAAGAAACCAGAGAGTTTTTTTTTTTCTTTCTTATCCCATCATCGAATTGGTTTTGGACACTCCTTCCATCCCTGTGGCCATCTATTACATATTGAGGGCCCCCTATGTGCCTTGGAACAACTTAGCTGCTGGGAAGACGGTGATGAGTAAGACAGTCTTTCCAGTGGTTCAGCTTCTTTGTTATTCATAGGGATGATCAAAGGAAGAGACAGAGAAGAGGAAGAATTCTAGTCTGGAGAGGTGTGAGAAAGTATTCTAAAAGTACTCCAAAGTGGGGATGCAGAATTAAAATGTACCCAAAAAAGAATGCCAATGCACCACCCCATAGGTCGGTAATTAAAGCATTAGCAGCTAATATCTGTTGAGTGCTTATTTTGTACTGTGCATTTTGCTAACGTTTAACTCCTTTAATCCTTATTACAATAACCCTGTGACAGGTACTGTCAATATACTCACTTTAGAGACGGGAAGAATGAGGCTCAGGGAAGCTAAGAAACCCATGTCTAAAATAAGGGACCTCAAGGCAATGGAGTTGCAGCACAGCCCTATTTGACTCCTATCTAAACTCTTAGCTGCTATGCTATACTGCACTAATTTACTGGTAAACTTATATCCTGCCAATTTGGGACACGTAGTATTTCTCAAGATGAGTTTTCAAAATGGGCTAAAAAAAAAAAAAGCCATGTCTTCTCAAAAGTTAGAAATGAATCTGATTGAGGACAGGGCCTGAAGGTGGGCCTCTGCTACAAATCACGAGTGGGCTGTGGTCCAGCCTCTGCGGCCCACATCGAATCCCCTCCCAGCCAGCACCTGAGCACGTCCTGCTGCCGCAGCGGGGCTGCGGGCAGGTGGGAGCTCTGCTCCGGGTGCGCTCAGCTCGGCTTCTGGCCAGGGTCACTCTCCTCAGCACAGAGACCCGGGAGCTGACCAGGTCTCTGTGGGAATGCTGGCCTCAGATCAGAAGTCAAGAAATGACTTATGAGCACAGCCCTGCACTGCAAAGACATTTTTACCAACAAAGAGAAAAAAATTAGGAGAGCGATGAAGGGAAGGAGAGAGGGAAAAAAACACTTGGCCAAGGCCAGACAGGGTCAACCAATTAAGCCTCCCAACTTCTGGCCAAATGTTGATTCCTTGTTCACTGGTGACAAGTCAGGAATGGACTCTAAATTGTTCAAATCTATTTGAGGGAAGTGAGGCTGGCAGTGGCGATATCAGTACTGGCACATGTTAATGAGAGCAGTAAGCCAATTTGAAAATGGCCTTTCGTTCCTGGACTGGTAGTATTTTCTGGTCTCTAAGAAACCAAATAAAATTAAAACGCACCATTAATAACAAAACAATACTATCCCCCTTCCCGTTCAGATGCGACTGCATCTGATCAAAGCTGAATTATTAAATGTCTATAGATTAATCCCATAACTCTCAAGGGCCTGGAGTTTGTAATTTCCCTGAAAAAACAGGCACAATCTATACCGTGAAAAATTTAATTGCACTTTAATTACCAGTTAGGCTGACTAGCATGAGATATGGGTGCCTTCAAGTTCTAACAGTCATTATGATTCCAAGAGAATTCTGAAGGGAAATCATTGAATCTCTGGGGAGTATTCTCTTCTTCTGCCACTGCCAAAATCAAAATGAGAGCAGGAAAAGATGTAAAGGGTGATTCAGATTCTTCCAGATCATAACCCAGGACGGCCCCCAGCAACAACAAGCTGGCTGTTCCCAGGCAGCTGCGCTACACGTTTGGTAATAGGCTAAGACAGAAGTCGGTCTCCTGCAGTGGAGTTCTGGTACGTTAAACAGATAAAGGCTCTGGGCTGGGGTGTTTCTTTTCGTTTTTAAAATCAGATCCAAGATAGCATACTCGTTTCTTGGTTTCTCGGTGCTGGGCCCCCGTGTGGGCATGTGCCCTCCACCTCCACAGCACACGCGCACACACAGGCTCCTCTCCCACCTGTTTCCATGACGTTTCAAAAACATGATTTCTAAAGGGACAAGGGAAGAAAGTAACACTATCACGGAAGTCTCTAGCAAAAATGGAAAAGGGAAGAATTCAAGAGGATACGAGTTTAGCCTTCTAACGCTTTACTTTATCAGAGAACCGACTGCCTGGGGAGAGGGCAGCCTCCTGAGAGCTGGTGCAGGAGGTGAAGGGAGGTGAAGCCGGCCACTCCTCTCCTGTCCTCAAGCCCATGTTGGCCTCCTAGATGCCCCAAGGTTCTTGAGGTGTTTGCCGTGTGTGTGTGTGTGTGTGTGTGTGTGTGTGTGTGTGTGTGTGTTTCCACCTCGACTGCAGAATGCCTCGGCCCCTTCTGGGGGACACTGTCCCACGCCAGCACAGGACTTTTTATAATGGGAAGAAATGCGGCTGTGCTTTTTGAAAGTCAGGCTGGGGTCAAAATATGATTTTTCACAAGGTCTCCAAGCAGCTTGGAGCTCTGTACTGACTGCAGCTGCTCTGTGCTGCCGGGTTCATCGCCTCAGCATTAGCGATCATTTGGTAGCTGGATTACAATTCCGTCTGCCAGGTAAATGTTCAGATGCTCAGAATCATCTACCACTTTTCTCTTCTCCAAATGTGCATCCGTTTTCCTTCTCGGAGCCTCTGTACCGAACCTGCACCGACATACAGTGCTGCACTGGGCTTGGGCGGGATTTGCATGTCCCTCTCTCAGGGACCCAAGAGCTGGGTTGAACAGCTCCCATCCCAGCCACGTGGGTCCCCATCTACAGAGGAAGCACAGGCCCTCTCTTACGGAGCCCCGTGGTTCAAGAGGAGGAGGTAGCAGAGTGTAACTCTGCCATCAATACTTAGAGGTACCCCTTCTCGGAGCACCGGCCGTTGAGTTCCTTGGGGTGGCAGCTAGGCCCACAGACACAAGGTACTCAGGTTAGGAACAAAGAGGGGGACAACGTCAGAACGCCATTCTACAGATCACCAAGTAAAGACTGCGAGCTTGTAGCATGAGGCAGCGAGACGCAGCAGACCTCCTAGCTCGGGCAAAGTGGACAGAAGGACAGCAGGGACGCCGAAGACACCTGGGCAGAAGGAGGCTTTCCTCCCTCTGTTCGTGCTCTGTGGGTGGAAGCCAGGAGAGCACAGCTCCTGAGTTCCAAGTCTCCCCCAAATGTTCCACACTCCATTTCCAGAACTGTAAAGGTCCTCGTACAGACAGGACTGGAACTGACAAATGAGTATGAGTGGTCAGGAGGTCATTCTGCGGCATCGCCTCCCCGTCACTCACCGAAAGTTGCACCTCCACTCGAGCCACTCCTTCCAGGCCCGGTGGGACGGCTTGAGAACTGATCGACGGTCTGAGCTGCACTCCCGCTGGTCCGCTCTCTTCGGAGCCTTGAGGGGCTGCACGTCCGTGGACCTGATGGGCAGCATTAGGTTTGAAGAGGCTGGAAAGGGAAAGCCATCAGGGCTTCTGTGTCTAGCCCGTCTGAGCCCTGGGGGTCTGCATCAGAATGCTGCAATTTGAATGATGGAACTGAACTGGGAGCTGTGGAGAGAGGACCAGTTTCCAAAGAAGTCCTCAGTGGAAAACTGAAATACGACGGCAGCAGGATGCTACAAATGGATCCAGCTGCTAAAGCCACGTGGCCTGGGAGACTGAGGAAATGCTGTTGCCACATGGAGGCAGACGGAAAAAAAAAAATTACCAGGGAAGATTTTTTAGTAGCTACTGAGATTATCAGATATTCTGGCCAAAGTCCCCGATGCTTGTTGTCCTTCCGATATTATGCTCTCGCCTCCCTTCAGGCTCACGGGTGCATCTTCCAATTCAACAGGGCCTCCTGTCTCTGAACGGAGAACTAGTCCCTCTCGGAACTTAAAAGTCTGAAGGCTGCATTGCAGCTGCCACATTCGGGCAGATCACTGATGCAGACTCCTCCGGCCTTCCCGATATCCTGGTGTGATGTGAATGAACACCGTGCAGCAGGTAAACAGAGCGCTAAAGTGCAAAGCACGACTCTTATTTATAGATCAAACACCTGCCATCAATTTAAACAGTAGTTTAAATCTAACTTGAAAGTTGAGCAAGAGACTGAACGCCCCCTTGAAGCAAGCAATTTTGAAGCAGCAGTTCATGTATACAGATGTGTTTAAAGCCTACTTCAGAATGCTGTAATTACCATCAAAAAGACAGATTCCATTAGATATCTGTTATGCTTTTAGCGTCTGTACTCCCAGACAGATTTGAACAAATGGTGAAAGCCTTGGGTTTCTTAACACTATACTTTTAACATTATTTCTTTAAAGGGCCGGGGCTTAGGATTTTCAGAATTTGGGAAACCATCTGATCAGAGGTTTTTGGAACAGATGATGATACAGTTTGGCTGTTCCTGTCATTTTGCCTTTTCAACCACAGTTCTACGTCCAGCCTCTCTCTCTACCAGGTGCATAACAAACTTAATATTTAGAGCAAGCTATCTTCCTAAACACAAATCAGTGAAGAGTGAAGGCATCTCTAATCACAAGCAAATAGGTGGGGGGGCGGGGTAGTGGTGGTGGGATGAATTGGGGGATTGGGATGGACATATATACACTAATATGTATAAAATAGATAACTCATAAGAACCTGCTGTATAAAAAATAAAAATAAATCACAAGCAAATAATAACCATCATTTCTTGAATGTTAAAAATTAGGCGATATGCGGTACAGGTGCACCATGGATATTATTCCATTAATACTTCTGATGAGCTCTTGAAGGTCGGTATTATTACCTTCACTTCACAAATAATAAAAACTGAGGTTCTGAGAGGTTAAGTACACTGCCTGAGATCAGCTAGTAAGTGGAAGAATTTGGATTTGACCATGGGTTGGCCTTGCTCCAAAGCCCTTGTTCTTTCCTCTACGTCATACTAGCTCAGAAAAAGGCCCTTCTTTTTTGCATAGATTGTCTCAAAATTGATTTTCCATTTACAGGGATACGGAACGTCCTTCTGGAAGTAGGCGATGACTATGTTCAGTGGCTGGAAATCGGTTTGACCTCTGGGACATGAGTCAGTCCAAGAACGGGATTCGGCTGCAGGCCGCATCAGTCAGGCAGGTCATTTCCCTCAGTGGTATTTCTTCTCCCCCAGGAAATCATAAGAATGGATTGGAGACCTTTTACATTCCTTATAATTCTAAAGTTCTATGTGTTTCTGAGTCATGACTGCTTTACCCTCTGCACTGATGAGGACAGGCTTGTGCCCAGAAGGACCTGTACTATTTCAGGTCCTTCAATGTGCCAGCCCTCCTCAAGCAGGAGCTGTTCCCGTGGACTGTAACACCCTCCCCGCTCCACCAGGTACCTCGACAGCTGTGTGATGAATGGACAAGGCAAGGCGTGAATGCAGACAGGTCTTCGCTGTGCTCTGTGGACGGTGTGCCTCCCAGTTTCCTCCTTTATGACCAACATAACACCTACAGCCTGAGTCAACCCTGAGTGAGGGAGGTACGTTGTTTGGGAAAACATGCTTGGGGGTAGGTCTAGGGAAACATCCCCTCATCAGGGTAACCTACAGAGAACATTCCCAGTCACCTGCCATGCATGAGAAACTCACCCAGTAGCAGGAATAAAAAAAGAGAGAGGCAGCCACTCAAAGGGCCGGGGTGATAGAGAAGCACTACCTTGTTTATCAGGATATAATAATTAGCACCTCTTTTTTTCTTTTTTGGTACAAGCTACTGTGAGTGAGTGAGTGAATCTGAGAAATGGGCAAGCCAGAGAGTGTGGTTTCACAGCAAGGATGGAGAGGCAGCTGGGTATGGAGGCAGATGAAGATACAGAGTGGCAGTAATGGTGATGAGACTGCTTCTTTCATTTGCAAAGGTCCCTGAGATAAAATTTACAAGGGTCAACACACAGCCAGAGAGGCAAACCTCCCTCCCCCAGGTGCAGGCTCAGCAGCTGGCCTCAGAATAAGATTAAATGAATCCCACCCTTGAAGGAGGGAGGCCGCCCAGGCAGAAGGATCACACCTTAGAGATGGCAAGAAAGGAAGCTATTCCCTAGCCTAAGGGCATTTGGGAGAAGTACGTGAATAGTAATTATTTGAAAAGAGATAACCAAAAAAGACTTCCAAGGCCAAGCCCTAGTCAAACTAATCTACTCAACCTTTACAGCAAGGCTAAAGACTAGGTGGGTAATGGCCTACCCATCAAAGAGCTTATTATGATTTCTAGACACTCCACAGAAGGGCTGCAAATAAGACCAGAGCTGGAGAAGGCTCTGGAAACCACAAAGTAGAAGTGGAACTAGGAGTAGCTGTCCTCAGGAGAAAGGCAACATTTAGAGTTTAGATGTCATCAGAATATTAGCACCGAAACTGTTGTTTCATTTGGGTTACCTCGTGGGGCCTCATCTATGCGCAGATGAATCACTGGTATGAAATGAGCTAAAATATTAATTGTAGTTGCTTTTAGGTGATGGGGTTGTTTGGAGGAGTCCATTGTTGTACCTTTTTAAAAAAACAATGATAGTATAACTTTTATAATCAGAAGGGAAAAAAGGGGAAATAAACAGCTGTCCTTAAATCCTGTGAAAGCTGCAGAAAGGAAGCTAAGTCCAGGTCAGCACACTTACTGTCTAGCAAAGGAGTAAACCATGACTATTACATGAGCTATTAAATACGGTTTGAACTGCAGTCCCAAGGGAAAGCACTCAAATTTCTGGGATCCTCTTGCTTTGAACAGAAACAATTTAATAATGTCATTTATAGCCATGTCCGATTGTCCAAACCATTGTCTTCACAGAAATATTAGAAAATTAAGGTGGAAAAATTTGTGAGGCAGCAGCAAGTGTAAGGACAGATACAGCTCAGCTTTTTAAAAGAAGATTCCTTCTTTCTTGATCTTCTCATTTAACTGGGGGCAAATAGAGAACTTCATTGTTACCCCACACACTTGTTTCAAAGCCTTGTCCTTCTAGTACTGAACACGTGCAGCCCCAGGGACCTGTGAAATGAATGCTGCTGCAGGATTTTATTTAAATGACATGTCTGATCTCCTGTGCTGTGTAAGTGGCATTGCTGAGGAGCTGCTCTTTCCAAAGGATTTGAGGTCACTTAGCTTGTACTGGCTCTGCCAGGAGCTCCGATGAGGAAGACTTCGGGACGTTCCACCTGACAGAACTTTAGAATTTGCAGCAGGTATATTTTCCTCAGCTTCCGGATCCTTGGGAATGACCTTATACTATGGATTCCGTCACACATACACTCTCTTCACTGAAGGCTCCCAGGATATCTTCATCACAAAAGGGCCTCGGTTAGTGCTTGAGATGGAGTGCAAACCAAGCTCACAGAGGACCAGGTTGGACAAGGCCAGAGCAGGACAACGGTCTTGATCCTTCCTCCACATCTCCAGGTACAGCCTCCAAGGAAAACAACTTTAAGGCAAGCCAGGCAACTGTTGCTACCAAATAGTGGGATATTCAGTGTAAGAAACAGAAGATAGTCTTATATCCGTGACGCTCCCACTGTGCCCCAAGGCTCCTTCCCAGATGCGCAGGGATGACGACTCCATTTGTGGCTAAGCATTCCCACTGACTTGCCAGGGGTTGGGGCTCTAGTTTGGGATATGCTCCAGTCTTCCTTCTAAAGTTATAAACAGATTCAAAACTTAACGGAAATCTGGAACCCAGGAACAGAGAGGAGGCTCTTGTTGACAAATGGAACATCATGGTGGCAGACCCAGAAGAGCTGCTGGTTAGCTCAGCATGAAGTGTCCCTTCCTCCCACCCAAGGGTGCACGTGGACATCACACCTGTGTTCCCCTTCTTCCCTCGGTCACCCAGTCCCAGCAGCGTGCTCTAATTTTTCTTGAAGTGTAGCTTATGGATAACCTGCATCAGAATAGTTGGGGCCAAGCAAGGAGATATTAGAGAGTTGGGGCCTAGGGAATCCGTATGCTTAACCCCCAAGCCATCCTGATGCATATTAACATTTGAGCATCACACCCAAGGAAGTACTCAGATCCTGTTGCCAACAGCAACCTGATGGGTGGTGGCAGAAGCCACTGGGTCCCTGCAGCGCCTCCTCTGTGTGGTTGCTGTCCTGCTCGATGGCATTAGAATACCCTTCACGGATAAGGATGGTGACAAAAGGTAACATCTTTAGCCCTTTGTAGCCTACAAAGTTTCTCCATAGCCTCTGTCTCGTCACATCAACTCCTCTGAGGTATGAATTAGAATCTCTATTTTCACAAACTCAGAAATCATGTGCCCTAAAAATACGGCACAGCCTGCTGCTAAGTAGCTGAGCTGAGGCTGTGGACCTGGGTTTGGTGATTCTAAAGCCTATGATCCAGCCACTCGTTAGCGCTGCCCTTCAAGTGTCCACAGTGGCTGCCCTGCACCGTTTACCTTCTCTGGTGAGTGGGTAAGATGCGGCTCACAGTTCTTTTAAAAGAG